TAATTCCAACTTTTTACACAATTGCCATATTGTTTTCCACAGCGGTTGTACCATTTTATAGTCGTCCTACCAGCAGAGAGTCCCCATCTCTCCACATCCTGCTCAGCATTTATTTTCTGTCTTGCTGAACTTTGCTATTCGTGCTGGGGCAAGATGCTATCTCATTGTTGTTTTGATTTGCATCTCTCTAACGGCTAGTGATTGTGAGCATTTCTTCATCTATTTGTTGGCCGCCTGTATATCCTCTTTGGTGAAGTGTCTATTCATGTCTTCTGCCCATTTTTTAAATGGATTATTTGTCTTTTTATTGTTGAGGTGCTCAAGTTTTCTACAAATTTTAGAGGTAAGTTCTTCGTCAGATATGTCATTGCTGAGTATTTTTTCCCAACCTGTAGGTTCTCTTTTGACTCTTTTGGAGAAGTGTTTGGAAGCACATAAAAATTTAATTTTTAGAAGGTCCCATATATCCAGTTTATCTTCTGTTGGTTATGCATTTTGGGTTCTACTTGACAGTCTATATATGCCATAAATTAGGGCCGAGGAGGCAATGAGTTTATGTTACTGGGGGATGAACAACTCAGAAAAGGTGAGAATGGTTGCACAACTCAAAGAATACAATCAATGTCACTGACTGGTATCAGTAGAAAGTGTTTTGCTGTGTGCATTCTCCACAGCGAAAGAAAGAATCAAATGAGACAAGATAATGGGCACAGCCAGGGTCTACTCAGCCCCTAAGCAATCTCATTCACCCCTAGATCTTCAATAACCCCCTACCCCTAAACCAGAATACCAAACCTGGTGCTGTCCTGTCGATTCCAACTCCAGAACGCTAAGGCAGACTCTGTAAGACAGAGTAGAACATGTCCCATAGGGTGTCCAAGGCCTCCTCCTACGGAGCAGCTGGTGGGCTCAGAGCAGCTGATGGGTTCAAATCACCAACCTTTCTGTTAGCAGCTGAGTGCTTTCACCACTGTGCCACCATGGCTCCTTCCCTCCTAACACTGAGACTCACAGATTCATGCTCTGTTTTGAGTCTCTGCATAGGTTCACGTACAAGTGTCTACTTGCCATTTCTATGTGGTTGTCTCAAAACCCCTAGAACCCCACACACCCACAACTGATGGCATGACCTTCTCCATAAACCTGGTCTGACTCCAATGTCCCCATCTCTGGGGATGGCATGGCCTTGCTATCGTGCAGGTGGGGAAGCCAGCTCAGGTGGCTCCCTCCATCCCTCGTGTAGTCCATATGCAGGTCCTGGGGGTACTACCTCAGCCCCTCTGCCATGGCTGCACCCACCTACCTGCATCTTCTACTTCTCAATACCCCATGCTCTCTGCAGTCAGAGCCACCGTTTAAAATTGCTGTCTACTCACATTACACACTGCACTCACTACTTGATGAAACTCTTGAACCACCTGCCTTAAAGACAAACAAGGGCCTCACCTCTGCCTACGAGGCTGGCCATTCCCATCTCCCCAGTCTAGCAGTGCCGGGCTCCCCGTGCCTTCTCCCCCCCTTGCAGCTCACAGGGCCCTGCTTCCCCCGCCCCGCCCCAAGGATCTTCTCTTCCCAACCACTCTTGCTGCCTGTACACGTCTTGCTAGCACTTAAGCACAGCTGTGATTTTAATCATACCCCCACTGGGCAGTAAGCTTTATTGGGCCACTGACCCCATCTGATTTTGCTTATCGTCCTATCCCCAGCACCTGGGCACAGAGCCTTACACACAGAATTTGTGAATGGTGCACATTCAATAAACAGTGGCTATGAATACACCCTGGGGCAGAATCAGGCAGAGAGCAAACTGGGCGGCCCCCTGCAGCCACACTCCATCGACCTCCCAGCTCTCCACTGCCCTGGTGGCTTGTTAGACTTAATCAGCTTCCCCAGTGATTTCCCAAAGATCCAAGGGTAGGAGAGGCCCGGCCAGCACAGTGGGCTGCAGTGCTCCTGCCACACTGCTGAGCTTTCCCCCCCTGCACCCTGGCCTGGCTGCGGCAGCGGTCGGTCACGCATTTTCTCACGGCACCCACAGGCCCACTGAACACAGATGGAGCTGAGTTTCTGGAAAGCGCACCCAAGGCAAAGGGAAGGCAAGGCCCCAAGAAGCCAAACCATCTAAGACAAAGAGGCAACCGCCAAAGTCTGGTTCTCGAATATGTATTTTTTACTGAAAAAATCATTCATAAATTAACATACAAAATGTACAAACACATGAGTAAATAATGTAATGACAAAGGGCTATTTTTGTGAAAAGTGTTTTTAAAACATTTTTAGATTTCAGTGCAAAAATGTACCCCTGGCACCTCTTAAAACACAAGAGCAAGCTTAAAAAAAAAATTAAAAATGTAGTGATGGAAACCAGCTAGCTACGTTCAATGTCACTATCAACAGTGAGTGGACACAATTGAAACGCATGGCTGCCGCTCAGTCTGTGGTGGAGGAGCGCTCACAAGAGTGCCAGTAATAATCTCAAAAGGAGTTATTTTGCAATTAATACCCCCCAAAAAAAAACTGCAAGAAAGGGGGCACGAAAGGCTTATGGTTTTTTTTAATCAACCTTTCCCCGCAAGAGGCAACTGAAGACAACGTTGATTTAGGAGGTCACCCATCAGCAGCTGTGGAGAATTTCAGCTGCCACAATATGCACAAGGTCACACTTGGTTCCTATTTTTTTTTTTAAATGATAATTTCACGCTACTACCAGCCCATGCACCTGGCTGTGTGCTTTTCCTACATTTACCATATAATATTCAGCTCTCTGGATATATGACTGACAGTGCACGTTAATGAACAAACTTGGACATGATTGCAAGAGAATTTGAACAGTAAAAAGAAACATTTCCTTTTGCCCTCAGATCAGCACTTTCTTTTTCAATCAAGTGCGAGCCTCCTGCCAGGAGTCTGAAGGTGGTGACTCCCGGGGAGTCAGCAAGCTCTTCTTACCACCTGCCACAGACACAGGCAGCACTGACCAAGAACCATGGGAGTCTGACCTGGCAAAGCCTCGGATTGCATCGACTCCTGTCACATCAAAAGCTACTCATACCCTTCAGAGAGGAAGGAGGAGACCCGAAGGGCGAGGAGGGCACCCTGGCTCAAAGGTCTAGGGCGGGGAGCAGGGAGCAGGGGCTTTTATTGCTGCTGTATGCACCAAAAACACAGGAAAACCCAAAGAACTTCCACGGGTGATGCTCCCTCGTGAAGGTACTTTAAAGCACGAATGCTCGAATTCTTTTCAAACCTGTGACACACTTACCAGCATTCTCGAGGGCAGTCCCTGCTCTCTCATACGAGCTGGTAAGAGCTTTGCAAGCGGTTTATTTCCTAAATATCACTCTCTCCCCACAAACAAACAAGGCCTGGCCAATCACTCCCACAACTGTGGGGATCATATGTCCATGGAACGAGACATGCAACGGAAAGAACCCCAACCCACACATATGTACAAAACATACACCCCCTACACACACACCCATGTAAACCATGAAAATTAAGGAAATTGAAGGCAAACAAGGCAATTACACCATCCAGTACTCTTCAGAAAGTACTCCCAATCACAATATATGTCTCATGGAAAAGCAGGGGAGAAAAACCTGGTCTTTTTTTTTTTTTTTTTTTCAGAATTCTGCACAATCCAACAGGGACCAGGAACTGAGGGATTTGGCTCAGGCCAAAACAAAGAGGCACAGATTAAAAAGCAAGCCGGACTGGGCTTCAAAAAGCCAGTGGGTGTGAGGAGAGCCTGGGGTGCTTGGGGGGCCCCTGGCTGGCTCACCTGGACCCACCCCCACACCACAAGCCTCATCTGCTCCCTGGCTGCCCAATCAGTTGTTCCTTAGTTTCACATACTAGTTAATAATGTTATCAGAGAATCTGGATGGAAACCAAAAAGGGAAATATCTGGAGGAATCACTGAAGACAGTTGGTAAGTTAGGCACACATTTTACAAACTGTGGCCAAGTTCCACACAGGAGGAAAAACCCCACAGCTCTCTCTTTTTGATGAAGTAAAAGGACAAAAATGTCCGGGGAGCATGGGAGGAGAGCAGAGAGAGCTCCGGGGGCCTGCTCTGAGCAGGTGAGTCACACGGTCCAACAGCCCCTGCTGATCACCACAAGACTGACTGAGACAGTGGGTGCAGTTCCTACCAGGGGAGGGGATAGAGCACAAGAGCCAAGATCAAGACTTTTTGGAAGGATGGGGGATGGGAAGGGAGAGGAAGCCTGCTTCCAGTGACGACCAGACTGTTCTTCTGTGACACACCCATGCCCACTCCCCTCCAAAGTGACAGTAGTTTGGGGAATGTTATTCCTCGACTGCATTTTAACTGAGTTCCTGCATTTGCCAACCAAAGAAGGGATCAAATGTACAAATCCTCGGTTTGAATTGGAGCCAGCTATAAAATTAAATTCAAAAAGGCATTTTACGCGGCTTATTTACAATTATACTTCTTCAAGAAGTGATTGTTTTGTATATGTCTACTGATCCTCCCCCATCCCTCCCCTCCACCCTCAAACCCCACCCAAAGCAGGTAACTTTATTATTTTGTTTTTTAAATGAAACCAAAGAGACCACCACAGATGCAGGAGAACGCTGTGTGGGGTTTCCTTTGCTCTTCCTACAACGCAGCTGCCCTGTGATGGGTTTGCCCCTTTGCTCAGAAGGCCAAGAAGTTCCAACCGTCATTTGTAGGATCCACAGCAGGACCAGGGCAGATTGCAGCTCTGGCCCTGGAACTGTGGCTAAGATGGGACGTGGGGGTAGGCGACAGGAGGAGAAGAGCGGCAGGGCTGGCGTCCATCTCGAGAGGAAGTCAAAAGCAATCCTGAAGAGGTGTGTTCCCCAGCTCCTGCGACTGGCTCCCAAGCAGGTCAGGCCGGGAAGGTGTTTGTGCCCGCTTTCTCTGAACCCCGGAATCCTTCATCGACACCATATTTCAGTTCTCGTCCTGTGCAGACACCCAGAACCACTCACCAGGCTGCCTTCTGGGTGGTGGTGAGTAAAGCGAATGTCTGTTCCCCTCCTTGACTCAGTACTCGGTCACCAGAGCCAGCTCAGGTGTCAAGTTGACAGTTATGTTTTTATACAAGGCGTCGTATGTGACGTTTGCAAAGTAGTTCAAGTTGTTGAGACCGTCCAGCCCCTGCCGTTCCTTTGACTTCCTCAGCAGCGCATACCTGTGTAAGCAGAGCAGAGAGAGGTGGTTCGGGCTAGGATCACAACCTCCTGACGGCCATGCAGGTCGGAGCCAGGGGGACCCGGAAGAGGACACAACCCATGGTCCCACCTCCACAACACACACAGGACACACTGGTGAGTGCTGCTTTAGGTTAAATATTCTTATTATCAGAAACACTTCCCATTTCATGCCAAGTGCTGTACCTATTATGTGACTTCATTTAATGAGGAAATCAAGGCTCAAGGCCACAGAATGATGAAGTGGCAGACATGATATTAACAAGAGACAAGATGACAAAGTCCACAATCTGTGCTCAGTGTCACCAGAGTCAAAGCAGTGAGGGTCTGCTGTCTAGAGAATTGTCATCACCCCAGTCTGCATAAGACAAGAAGAGCTGCTCTGGAAAATGCAGAGACGCCACCCCTGCCACACCCAGCTGGTCTACTCGGGGGTTCCAGGTAGTCCCCAGGTTATGAAGGTGATCCATTTCTGTGTCTTTAAGAATTTGTAGGTCAGTGGGAGGAGGTGCATACAGTTCTTATTTAGTCTCTTCCATGGTTTAAAAGCTGCTCATGCAGCAAGTGATGAAGAACTGGAGTAGGGGTTGGTTTCAGTCTTGTCAATGAGTGCAAGTTTAGCTAAACTCAAGGGCAAGTTGGTGTGATCTGTAGCTGAGGAATGCCTGTATTTACTCAAAGGAGGTAAAAGAGCAACCACAAAAAATAAAAGCTCAGGACGCCCTTCCGGAACTGGAACTTGCACAAAGGGTGGCAGCTCTGCTGGGTCATGCCATCTGTGACAAAGGTCACACAGCCTTTGACCTGGGTGGATCTTTCTGCAATTCCTTAAAGGCTGCAGAGCCAACAACAAAGCTGAACAAGCAGAACGAGTGTTTTGCTTGAAAGATCTTACTGTCAGCTTTTTCATCAACAGTTTGATTTCACCCAAACGTCTACCTCAAAGTTCAATCAGAATGAACGTATGGAGTGACCGTACACCAGCGGTGGGAATGGGGCCTTGGAGTGAGGGTAGGGAGCACACTGACAGGCTGTAATCTGCCCTCAGACATCTGGAAAGGTGACGACTGAGGACGTTTGTTAGAGGAATCAACACATTGCACCAACCTCCCAAGAAACTGGACTTCTCCTCGATGGTGATGAGGAATGGACTTGTACTTCCCTGTGTCGCCCTCTGGCCGGCTCACAGAATAGCCTGCATTCTGTACTCTGTCCGAGACAAAGAGAATGGGCTTTAGAACAATCAAGCCCCCCAGGTGACATGTTCACAGCCAAACACAGCAAAGGCTTTCTCAACTCATCTCCGCTGAACGGACTCTCGGGGTGACTGAGGCTCTCTAAGCCCCCAACAGCCCCCAACAGGCACTCACAGATCCCGGAGTGTGCACAGCCCATGAGCCATTCTTCAATACATTTGTACCACTTACAAACTTGTACTGCTTACAGCTGGAGGTTCACCAAGTCAGCCTGGTGAACCCCAACCATTTATGCTCCTACACATGTCACAGTCCTGTCATTTCATTAAATAATACACAAACTAACAAAATTGAGCAAAATGGGTTACTGCATCAATGAAAAATACATTGATGGCTTTGAAAAGATTTGATAAGGGCAAGCTGATTAAAAAACTTCTGCTAGGTTAGGTAGAGGTGAGACAACCAAAAAAGACTGAAGAGAGATCATGGAACTTGCAAGGATCTGATACTCAGAGATTATTTGAAAGCTGATCTCACTCCTGTTTAGAGAGCCCTGGACTGAAGCCGTGTTTGGACACCGAGTGGGGTATAAGCAGCAGAGATAAGAGCACTGGATCAGAGATGCCAAGATCAAAGTCGAGGCCAGGACTCCGAAGGCTGGGCATGAATGTACACACCAGGGCCTAGAGCGGAAACAGAACGTCTGCCTCTCTGAGGATTCCTTAGCAGGCCTGGGGGCACAACGGTTAAGTGCCCCGCTGCTAAGCGAAAGGCTGCAGCTGGAACCCGCTAGTGGCTCTGTGAGAGACAGGCCTGGCAATCTGCTTCCACAAGGGTCACAGCCTAGGAAACCCCGCGGGGCAGTTCTGCTCTGTGGCATGAGTCGGAATAGCCCCAACGGCACATAAAAACAACACGACTCCTCTACGCAGCCAACTGATTAATCTGAACCAGTCTCACCTGGGATGAGACAGTATCTGTAGACGTTTGTGGCTGTCACAGTTTGAGGAGGGCAGCTACTGGCATCTAGCACATAGAGGAGGATGCTGCTGAACATCCCACATTGCACAGGGCAGCCCCTGCAACAGAGAATTCCTGGCCAAAAATGCCACGGTGCAAGGGTTGAGAACCTGACTCAAACAAGAGAACTTCTGCGCCTAAATGTTCCAACTGCCTGCCCTCAGGGCAACTTCATGAGTTTAGAAAAGTACCTGAAGTCTAAGGTGTGCCTAACACAAGCCGGGCATTTTCAATTGCCCCATAGCCACATGAAAGCTGGATAATGAATAAGACAGAACCAAAGAAGAGTTGATGCTTTTGAGTTGTGGTGTTGGTGAAGAACACTCAAAGTACCACGGACTGCTAAGAGAACTAAGAAATCTGTCCTGGAGTGCAGCCAGAATCCTCCTTGGAAGCGAGAATGGCCAGACTTCATCTCACCTACTTTGGTCGTGTTCTCAGAAGGGACCATTCCCTGGAGAAGGATGTCCTGCGTGGTAAAGTGGAGGGTCAACGAAAGAGGGGAAGGCCCTCAATGAGATGGATCGACGCAGGGGCTGCAACAATGGGCTCAAGTATATCAAGGATCAGGGGCTGTTATAGGACCAGACAGTGTTTCGTTCTATTGTACACAGGGCTGCTATGAGCTGGAGGCAACTTGATGGACTTAACAAACTTTTGAAAAAGAAAAGAAACTCAAAACTATCAATCTTTACCTGTGGGCTTTGGACCATAGTCCCAGGGGACATCAAGCTCAATTGGCATAACATACTACACAAAACATTGTTCCACCTCCTACTTCGGAGAGTAGTGACTGGGATCTTAAAACCTTGCAAGCTGCCATCTAGATGCAACAATGGGTCTCTCCTCATCCAGGGCAAAGAAGAATAAAGAAAACCAAAACTTCAGGGATATAATCAGTCCTAGCGACTGGTACACCATCCAATCTGCAGCCTATATGACTATGAGACCAGAAGAACTAGATGGTGGCTGGCTACCACTGTCAACCATTTGGAAGGTGATCTATGTAGGAGATTCTGGATAGAGAGGGAGAACAATGTGGAACAAAACTCAAAATCATTTGGAGAAAAAAAAACGGGGGGACCAGGTTTGCTGGTCCAATAGAGCCTGGTGGAACTACTGAGACTATGGCCCCTAGCTACCTGTCAGGTCTGGAATTGAACCCACACCTGTGGCTTCCAGACAAACAAATGACAGGCATATGAGTTGAACATTTACCTGAGGTAGATACACTCTTTTGAGAGAACAATCATGGGAGAAAGAAGGGTCATTTATGCACAGGGAGATGGCTGGCTTAGGGGGCAGGGGTGCATGGAGGGGTGGACACAGGGAAGACGTAACTATGGGGAGGAAGTGGGAGGGGAGCTGTTGCATTGTGATAAACTGTGGTCAATGTCATGAGACAAAGTGTATGTAAACTGCTTTATGGAAAGTGAATCTGCTCTGTAAATTTTCACCCAAGTCACAATTAAAAAAAAAAAAAGAATAATGACAAAAAACTAAAAAACAACCTACCAATCTTTGAAAGTGAGGTTCAATGTAGGGTCTCAGTGAGAAGGACCCCAGTTGAGTGCCCTAGCAGTACAGCAGTCTGCCCTCTTGGCCTGCATGCTTCCCACCAGAAATAACTTTTCATGGTGGTTCACAGCACCTTTCCCTTCCACAACCTACTACAAAGCAATTCAGCGAAGTTAAATTATTGACGTATTTTCCCCATTTAAGCAGAAATCATGCCCGGCCCACCTTCCCATCACCACTGGAATGAAGTAGTTGATACGGTTATGTTTCCGATCTAAATGTAAGACTTCACCATTTACGAAAGGTCACTATGAGGGAAGGAGAATTCAGAGGTGACTGTAAGGGTATTTATCCTTCCTGCCTACGGCATTTACCTTTCCGACTTGAGGTGCTGATAATAACAAAGGGAAGATTTTCCCAAGGGGTTACGGGAAACTTTCTGGGGCTCTACAAAACAACTCATAGCTGGAGGCTGACTCTGGGGACCTGTGTGAAATTAAGGTCGTTTCTCTATGATAAAACTGTGGGAGAATATTATTTCAAGATCTTCCTCTTGACTCTAAGTTGTTTCTCATGTTGACACCTGAAGATGTGTCCTCACTCACATGTGACAGTTATGGAGCACCTGCTGTGCACCTGGAGTCATGGAGGGCGCTGGCACAACCAGCCACCCTTCCTGCCACCAGAGCTCCCGCTGAATGGGGCACAGAGGTGACTGTGCAAGCTGGCACAAGGCGGGGGGTGAGGGGTGGGGTGGGGGTGGAAGGCAGCAAGGAGGCAGACAGGGAGCCCAGGAAAAGCTCAGCCGGGTTCAAGGATGGGACAAATCGAAGTTCACTCACACCGGGTTCTAAGAGACCAAAGTTAAAAGAACGAGATGACGTTTATACCTATCAGATTGGCAAACATTTTAAAGGCTGTTTATATTCAGTGTTGGTTGGCACTGATGAATAAAATGGGCACAGTGATCACTATTGGTGGGAAAGTAATTTTGCAATCTTTTTTTGAAGGAAAATTTGGTGACAGCTATCCACATTTTAAAAGTGTGTGTGTACTTCCTGATTGTGCAGTTCCACAATTGAAAATTTAATCTCTAGACATACTTGCACATGTAAACATAGGAAGTTCAAACATGCAAACAGCTGATCCCCATCAACAAGTGGGAGTAAAATAAATTACAATGTATCTACATAATTGACACCATGTAATTGTTCTCTCTCTAACCAAGCAGCATGGAAGGGGAGAAGGGACACATCTATGTTGTTCATAAATGAACAGAAAGAAGCAACAGCTTGTTAAAGTGGCTACTGTCAGGGAATGAAAACAGATACCAGTGAGGATGAAGACTTTCCACCCTTTGGTTCATGTACTTTTATATCAACTGACTTCTTATCAGCAAATTATTACTTTGTAATAACAACCAACACACACTGTTTTTCTAAAGCTAAGCTAGAACATAAACAGACACAAGTGTTACAATGATAACCCTTTTGCATTTGCTTCTTATTAATCTACCTACTCTATAAAGAAAAGTATTACTCATAAATAGTCATAGGACTGATAATACAAACATTATCTGATGGCGTGGATAGACCTGTGTATTAAAAAAACCAACCAAATCCACTGCTATCAAGTGGATTCTGACTCACAGCAACCCCACAGGACAAAGCAGAACTGTGTATGTGTATCACCAATATTGGTGGGAGAACACTGTGAAGATTCGGTGCGGCCACTTACACAGATTGCTGGTGAAGTACAAATTTGTGGTAGAACTTTTGGGTGGGGGTGGGAGGAGATTATACTATGTCTGGGACTTTTCCTGAGCAGGAACATGAAATAGGCAAAGAACGTCCAGTGCAATTTTGTTGTTGTGTCGTTAGGTGCCGTCACGTCAGGTCCAGCTCATAGCAACCCCGTCCGTGTGCAACAAAACGAACACGCGGCATCTTTTCACAATGGCTGCTGTGTCTGAGCCCACTGTTGTGGCCACCGTGTCCATCCAGCTGGCGGAGGGGTTTCCCCTTTTTCACTGTCCCTCTACTTTACCAGGTATAATGTCCTTCTCCAGAGACTCAGCCCTCCTGACAACAAGTCCAAAGTACGTGCAACCAAGTCTTGCCACCCCGCCCCCTTCTACAAGAATTCTGGCTGTACTTCTTCCAAGACAGATCTGTTCATTCTTCTGGCAGCTGATGGTGTATCCAGTATTCTATGCCAACACCAGAACTCAAAGGCATTAATTTAGTCTTTCTTATTCATTGTCCAGCTTTTGCATGTATATGAGGCAACTGATCATATCATGGTTTGGGTCAAGTACACCTTAGTCCTTAAGGTGACATCTGTGCTTTGAAACACTTCAAAGAAGTCTTTGGTGGCAGATTTGCCCAATGCAATATACCGTTTGATTTCTTCACTGCTGCTTCTGCTGCCAGGAACTCTGGTAGCACACTGCCTAAGGAATTTGACTGTTAACCAGAGGGCTGGAGGTTCAAACCCACTAGCCACTCCTCAGAAGGAAGACTGGGCAATCTACTTCCATAGTGATAACGCCTCAGAAACCCAAGGAGGGGTCACTATGAGTCAGGTCCGACTCGATGGCAGTGAGTTTGTTTTTTTCTTTTGGTTTGGCTTCCACAGCTACAGTTTGTAGCAGTGGGAAAATGGGAAAGCCTCTATGTGTACAATAGGGGAATGATGACATAAATTATAGTTCAGCTACATAAAAGAATTAAAGGCAGCCATTTAACATTTTGTTCTCAAAGAATATTTAACATTGATACAATAAAAGCATTAATATCTACAGAGCTTACCACATATCAAATACTATGAAAGAGTTTCATACACTTTATCTCAATTGATCTTCACAACCCTGAGATTTGTACCATTGTTATTTCACAGTTAACAGATACAAGATTTTTTTAAAACTAGACAATTTAAGTTATTGTTCATCCATCTCTTTTAAAAGACACAATGAGTTCACTGAAACGGTAGCCACTGTTACTGCAGACTGTGTGCAATTAATTTCATTTTTATCTTCATCTGTATTTTAAAATGAACGTATCCTTATTATAAGAAAAACTGTTAAATTATTACACTTAAGTTTATGCTTGCATGTTAAAGGAGAATAAGAAAATGAAAAGAGCTATTTGTTGGGATGATGAGTTTTGCTTTTTAGGATGGTATGAGATTTTTTGTGTTTGTTTGTGATCTTATAATTGTATAATTTTTAGAGTGAATAAAAATCATTTCAGTGACCCCAATATTGTAGTCTCCCTCAGAAGAGATAAGCCATTCCTAAAATCCAAGCACAGAAAGAACTGCCCAAAGCTGTTCTGTCTACTTTGATCACCACAAACCACAGGTGGTTACCATCATGTGAAATGCAGACTGTCAGAAATGAGACGTGCCATGAATATAAAATACTTGGTAGATTTCAAAGATGCAGCAGAAGAAAAACCAGTGTAAAATATCTCATCAGTAATTTGTACACTGACTGCATGCTACAATAATAACATATGACCAGCTTGTATTAAAGGAGCTCTGGTGGTACAGTGGTTGAGGCATGTGGCTACTAACAAAAAGGGTTGGTGATTCGAACCCACCAGTCGCTCCACGGAAGAAGGAAGGGGCAGCCTTGGAAATGCAATGGAGTCTCTATGAGTTGGAACTGACTTGATGGCATGACTTTGTTTTAGATTGTATTAAGTATACTGTTCATATATCACTAAAATTAGCTTCACCTATCTTGTAATCTTGTCAACAGTGGCTCCTAGAGCACTGCAAATCCTATATGTGGTTCCCACTGTTTCTGCTGGACTGTGCTGGTCTGCAGGGTCTAAGATAGCGTTTCTAAGAGGCACCGGAGGAGGGAGATACCTGTTCCAGAGGTCATCATCTTCTCCACCCCAGCCCCAGAAAGCATTAGGGAAGCCATTGATTTTCCGAAACTGTTCCACCGTTAAGCCGCTCACTCCACCAAAGAACTCAGTATAAGGAAGCCTAAGAGCAGAAACACAGCACCTGTCATCAGTGAATAGAAGAGTGACTTTTCTTCTCCCAGACAGATCATCTCACTTGAGAACTAAGCCTTAAATAAAACAGTACTACCTGGGCCACCACCCTGGACCATTCTGAAACTATTCTCTCTTGCTGACATGTATCAACCTGAGTGGCTAACTGGATTTTTCTTCTGACTTTTTAGAGCAGCTCTATTGAGATATAACTGACATGCCATACAAATGCACAATTCAGTGGTTTTCAGTATGTTCACAGAGTTGTGCACCCTTCACTACCATCAAATTTAGGTCATTTTCACCATCCCAGAAAGAAGTCTTGTGACCATTAGCAGTCACTTCCTCTTTCCTCTCATTCCTCCCCGCCCTGAGCAATGACTGATCCTTCTGTCTCTATAGATTTGTCTGTTCTAGACATTTCACACACATGATGGGATCATACAATATGTGGTCTTTTGCAACTGGCTTCTTTCACTTAGCATGATGTTTCAGGTTCATCCATGCAGCACATGGATCATTTTTATCGCCGACTAGTACTCCACTGCAGAGCTACACCACATTTAACTTATCCACTCATCAACTGATGGACATCTGCGTTATACATAATGGGATTTTACCACCTTTGCCTCTCTCACATCCTTTTACATTTAACCTCTTTAATTAAGAGGAAATGATACTCACAGATACATATACTTATCCAGTTTGGTTGCAAAGTGCCTTGGCATCTGTCCACATCCATAATAGTTGCGATCACTTTCTGGTATATGATCCACATCATGAAAAATCAGACAGTCCCAATCCAAGTCCTTCATTGCTTCTTGAAAACCAACGTTGAAGAGCATGGCTCGGTTAAAGGGCTGAGTGCCAACCTAAAAGCAGCAGAACTCATTTTTAAAAGGACTCCTGGAGCAACACTTTCCCTGCCCTTGCCTTGCCCAAAGGAGAGCTTATTGGAACTGACTAGAAAAGATCACAGGCTGCAGGTGAGACACAGTCCAGCACCACTCTCACTCGCTGACTCACTGTATGACTCAGAAGTCACTGGATCTCTGGCCTTGAATTTTCAGAAATAAAACGAGGGATAATGAATCAAATACACAACTTATGACAGTCAATACAGAGAACTTGTAAACCTCTCATTTGCTTATAGAGCCTTTAGTAAAGGATGATAAATGAAATCCAAGGCCTAGTGAAGTTTGCTAATGCCATAGGTCACATCATAGCAGGGATGGGACAAACTCCAAGGCCTCATCCTCTGTGCTGGACTTTCGTGCAGCTCCTTATCTTAGGGGGAATTTCCTGGGTCTGGAGCCTGAAGACACCACCCAAGACAAGCATTAGCAAAATCACTACAGAAGAAGCCCCTGTCCATGGCAAACAACTTCCACCCTGGATTCCAGTTTGCCAGGATAAAGCAACATCTCGAGGCAGGAGCACAGAACTTTTTTCTGTTCCTCTTTTTACTTCAGGGTGACTCAACTGTAACATTTCAATGTAGTGGCTCTTCTCACCAAAGATGGATTAGCTTGAAGTACTCAGTCTAGGAAAAGAAAAAATTTTAAAAGAATAAAAAAGGACCACTCACTTGCTCGATCACATAGAATGCAAACCGCAGGCGCTGGCGCTGAAGCATAGGAACCAGGTGTCTGAGCAGGACTGGGAGGTGCTCATGGCGGTTCCGGAAGGGGATGAGGATAGCCACCTGGAGGGGGTCACAGCAAAAGAAGCCACCCAGTTAGTCCCCAGAACTGTTTCCTGGGAGCAGGACACCCCTGCAGAACTGGGGACTCACTCTTGGGGAGTTCTGGGAGGCTGTCTGATGCTCAAATTCCTCTGAATGAAGACCCATGCTACCAAGTGGGCCAGTGAAAGTAAAACGATCTTACTCTCATGCGCCATGCCTTGCAAAGAGTAGGCCCATTGAATTCACTTTAGATAATAACCCATAGGAAGAGATACTTTTTTTTTTTTTTTAATTGTGATTTGGGTGAAAGTTTACAGAGCAAATTCACTTTCCATACAGCACTTCACACACACGTTGTCTCATGACATTGACTATAATTTACCCCAATGCAATAGCTCCCCTCCCACTTCCTCCCCATAGTTACCTCTTCCCTGCGTCCACCCCTCTATGTACTCCTGCCCTGAGCTGTCTCCCTGTGCATAAACAGCCCTTCTTTCTCCCATGATTGTTCTCTCCAAGTAGTGTTATCTACCTCAGGTACATGTTCAACTCATATGCCTGTCTTTTGTTTCGCTGGAAGCCACAGGTGTAGGTTCAATTCCAGACCTAAAGGGCAGCTAGGGGCCATAGTCTCAGTGGTTGCACCAGGCTCTTATCAGACCAGCAATCCTGGTCCCCCCCCTTTTTTTGTCCCAAATGATTTTGAATTTTGTTCCACATTGTTCTCCCTCTCTCTCAAGGATCTCCTACATAGATCCCCCTCTGAGTGGTTGACAGTGGTAGCTGGGCACCATCTAGTTCTTCTGGTCTCATAGTTACATAGGCTGAGGATCGCATGGTGTACCAATCA